GAACTAGAACAAATCATCTTAAAATTTGTATGGAGACACAAAAGACCCCGAATAGCCAAAGCCGTCTTGAGGGAAAAAAACCGAGCTGGAGGATGAGGCTCCCTGACTTCACACTACATTACAAAGCTACAGAAATCAAGACAATATGGTACTGACACAAAAACAGAAACACAGATCAATGGAACAAGATAGAAAGCCCAGAGGTAAACCCACGCACCTATGATCAACTAATCTATGACAAAGGAGGCAAAGATATACAATGGAGAAAAGACAGTCTCTTCAATAAGGGGTGCTGGGAAAACTGGACAGCTACATGTAAAAGAGTGAAAGAAGAACACTCCCTAACACCATAAACAAAAATAAACTCAAAATGGATTCGAGACCTAAATGTAAGACTGGACACTATAAAACTCTTAGAGAAAGCATAGGAAGAACACCCTTTGACATAAAGCACAGCAATATCTTTTTTGATCTACCTCGTACAGTAATGGAAATAAAAACAAAAATAAACAAATGGGACCTAATGAAACTTAAAAGCTTTTGTACAGCAAAGAAAACCATAAACAAGACGAAAAGACAAGCCTCAGAATGGGAGAAGATATTTGCAAATGAATCAATGGACAAAGGATTAGTCTCCAAAATATATAAACAGCTCGTGCAGCTCAATATTAAAGAAACAAACAACTGAATCCAAAAATGGGCAGAAGACCTAAATAGACATTTTTCCAAAGACATACAGATGGCCAAGAAGCACATGAAAAGCTGCTCAACATCACTAATTATTAGAGAAATGCAAATCAAAACTACAATGAGGTATCACCTCACACCACTTAGAATGGGCACCATCAGAAAATCTACAAACAACAAATTGCTGGAGAGGGTGTGGTGAAAAGGGAACCCTCTAACACTGTTGGTGGGAATGTAAACTGATACAGCCACTATGGAGAACAGTATGGAGGTTCCTTAAAAAACTAAAAATAGAATTACCAAATGATCTTGCAATCCCACTACTGGGCATATACCCAGAGAAAACCATAATTCAAAAAGACACATGCGAGGCTTCTCTGGTGATGCAGTGGTTGAGAGTCTGCCTGTTGATGCAGGGGACACGGGTTCGTGCCCCAGTCCAGGAAGATCCCACATGCTGCGGAGCGGCTAGGTCCGTGAGCCATGGCCGCTGAGCCTGCGCGTCTGGAGCCTGTGCTCCGCAACAGGAGAGGCCACAACAGTGAGAGGCCCCCATATCGCAAAAAGAAAAAAAAAAAAAGACACATGCACCCCAATGTTCATTGCAGCACTATTTACAATAGCCAGGTCATGGAAGCAACCTAAATGCCCATCGACAGACAAATGGATAAAGAAGTTGTGGTACATATATACAATGGAATATTACTCAGCCAAAAAAAGGAATGAAATTGAGTCATTTGTTGAGACGTGGATGGATCTAGAGACTGTCATACAGCGTGAAGTAAGTCAGAAGAAGAAAAACAAATATCGTATATTAACGCATGTATGTGGAACCCAGAAAAATGGTACAGATGAACCGGTTTGCAGAGCAGAAGTTGAGACACAGATGTAGAGAACAAATGTATGGACACCAAGGAGGGAAAACCACGGTGGGGTGGGGATGGTGGTGTGCTGAATTGGGCGATTGGGATTGACATGTATACACTGATGTGTATAAAATTGATGACTAATAAGAACCTGCAGTATAAAAAAACAAACAAAAAAACCCCACTAATACTAAACTTTCTTTCGGTTATTTGTATGGAAATATGTTAATATAACTGTTTCAGACATTACATGAAATTTCTAAAAATCTTATATGTTCTGGTATAATGTTATAAGTCATAACTCTAGTTATCACTTTAAAATGTATATCTCAGAAATAACTAAATTTCCTTGTCAATTGCATTATTATGAACTGTCATCAAATCTTTAACTGTGGTGATTTTTAAGTCTTTTGTCATTTACAGACAGTCCTGGGTGTACTCTGATGCTTTCGCAAAAATGTTCCTATAAAAGGGTTTCATCTTCAAGGAATTCATGGAAAAGACTCTGACAAGTACAGGTTTCTGGTAACTGACTATACTGCTGAACTGAATGAATAAGCGTTTTCAGAACTCTAATGGAAAACTGATGAATTCATAAAAGTGCTAATAAAAGATCAAGATGAAAAGAAATTAATTAGATGGGACTGAGTGACCTAATGAGGATGATTATAATTTTTTTGACTTTCTGTTTGAATAAAAGAAAAAGAAAATTCCACAAGGACTCAGAGGCAAAAAATATACAAATCAATTCTCACTGCAAAGTAAAGGAGCTGTTACAGTGGAGGATTCCTGGACTGAATGTCAATATGATGACATAGTATGAGTGTGTTTAGTGTTTGGTAATTGCAATCATTGTTGCTTTTGCTGTGGTCATCCATTTACAATGCTTGGTGTCAGTCTATTTGTCTCTTGTAAAAATAAAATAGTGTGTGTGTGTGTGAAAAAAAAAGCAAAAAAACGGGCAACCCAACAGAACAGGGTCTATACAAGCAACTCACAACTGAGGAAATTCAGATGGTATATAAACATATGAAAAAGGGCTCTACTTTACTAGTAGTAGGGAAATTGCCAATTAAAACCACAATAAGATGTTAGTACACACCCAACAGATTGTCAAGCATTTTAAAGTGTGATGGAACTGTAAAAGGTGCACTTTTATAGGAAACAGCTTGGCATTATCTAATGACATTAAGGATATGTACTCTCTATGACACAGAGGTGCAAATACATGTCTGTCTGAGCCATCCCTCAGGATAGGCTGGCTGCAGTTTAATCCAGGCCAGTGCAGGGATTTCCCTAAATAGTTCAGTTGGTGTATATATCCTGAACCTCAGTAATCTGACCATTGAAAGCCCATTTTTAACATTCACAAGCTCATAACAAGCACCAATTTTGCAACTGAAAAGACATTTTAAATGTTCATTATACAAATTAGCAAAGTCTCAAGTGTTGATCAGAGATAATACAGATGAACAACCAGAGTGAGGCCTTCTAAACAAATGCCAGCTCACTGTCCTTGCTGTGGGAATTCTCAATTAGAACAACTTGTTGTCCTAGGTGTCAATTAAAATCAACCCACCGATGTTGGTCAAAAGGTACATACTTTCAGTTATGAATAAATTCTGAGAATCTAAAAAAAATAAAAAGAAGAGGAATCAGGATAGAAAAGGAAACTGAAGAGCATGTTCAGGCTCAGATTTGCTGAGCCACTCTTCCACCCCCATCCCTAAGTACTATAAGTGAGCCTTTAAAGAGAAAAGGAGTCATTTTAAAGAAAACTGCTAAGTAAACAGTAGCATAGGCTGTATTGAGAATATGACAAAATTATGGAAGAGATTCAAACAAAGAACTTTTAGAAATATTACTAGCATACATATACAACTGAATAACATATAAGGCATTATAGAACTGTCCAACAAAAGATACAAGAAACAAGTACCACAATGATAAGAGAAAAGAAATCAATTCCAGTAGGGATGGTCGGGTACAACTGTCAAAGCAACTGAAATTTATTGGGCTGAGTCTTAATGATTGGACACAATAGGCTAAAGACATTCTAGAGAAATCAAGTGGTAGGCGGGGGGAGCTTAAGCAAAAGTAGAGATATCCAAAGAGTAGTAGGAACACAGTGAAGCCATTTTAGAAAAAGATAAAGATTCTCAGCTCTTCATTTTCTTACATAGAAAAACTACCTATATTTATTTAGATACTTTTTTATATATTCTTCGGCAAATAATAAATATTACCTAGAATATGTTACTCCACTGTATATATGAAAATACAATTTTCAAAATTATGTATCTCTATAGAGCAATACCTTAAAATGCATTTAATTACTTTAATATTATCATAGCTCTAAGATACCTGAATAGTGGTGAACACCCTCATAGGTGTTTCACATTTATAACTTTCGTCAGGTCTCCTAAAACCATTTGGGATAAATAAAGCATTCTTACCATCCTTATGCCCTCAGCTAAGATTTTTACTTCTGGCTTCGCAAATTCCAAACAAGCAAAAATTAAAAAGAGAGTAACAGAGAAGAACAAATTAGCAAAGTCAGTAAATTAATCAAGGGAAAATTACATAGTTATAGGAAAATTGAAAAAGATTCTCATTTTTTATACCCTGGAATGGTTAATTCTTTAATACAAGAAACAATAAGCATTATTATCAGTCGCTTAATGTATTTTAGTTACTTTTTTTAAGTTTTATACTATAAAATAATTAATGCGCCCACAAACAAGTTATTTTATGTACTAATTAATACTCTGAAGCAAATGGTACCATTTGCCTAGGTATCCACTAGAATGAAAGAAATCATTCTAATCCTAGCACAGCTCCAACTTGCCTTCTGACTTTCGGAATAACAGTATTCATTTCTCACCTATACAGTGAAGAAGCTGGACCAGATGATATCTAAAGTTTCTGACAGTTGTAAATGTTACTGATGGTACACTACTTATATAGCTAATCCACATTCTTCTTTCAAAACTAAACTTCTTAAATCAGCATTTTCCCTAAAAATGGTGGGAAGTTTCCAAAATGTATTACATTTTAGAAAATTTTAAATTCACATCTATTACAAACTAGGAATTGAAAATAGTAATTTTCTTATGAAGTCCTTTATTTCCTACCAATCATGTTCCTAAGAATATGGAAGTATTAATTAAAATTCAGAAATGTATAAAAACCATAAGGAACAGTTATTGAAAAAAGTTATAAAGAAATAATCTCTATTAGTTAAGTTGAAGCTTTGTATTAGGAAAAGAATTACTACAATAAAAGTTAAGTGGATTATCTATTCTTTGATGATCCTCTGCAGTCACAGTATTTAAAAATAAAACTACTTTACTCTGTATGATTCTACTACGTAATTGCTAACTTTCCTGAATTTCCAAAACTTACATGCAATTACTTTCACATACATCTCCAAGGAAAGGTTTCACTGACCACTGTAAACACTGATTTATTAAATAAAGTAGAAGTCCATGCTTTATAACTCAGCATTAAATTTCTCATAGAGAAATCAAGAAAAAATATTTCCTATCATAGATAGTTATCAACTGTCTTTGTTACCTCCCAAGTAACATTTCATTAAAGAAATCAAGTTAAGTGGGAGCTGTTTTTCTTTACAGATGATGCCTGTGCTTTGGCCATTCTTCGAACCAGCGCTTCTTGTCTTTTTCTCTGAATTTCTTCAGGAGAATACTTTCTATTTTTCTCTTCTTCCTCTAAAAATGAAACCAAATATAGATATTAGCTTTACAGACTATATAGTCGTTCTGAATAAATTTTAATCTTTACTTTTTTATTACCCAGATTTGCTACATTGGTTTCGTTATTAAACTATACTTTACTAAATATAAGACTACAAGTACAGATACAGTACAGTACAAGGCTCTAGGCCAAAATAAAATCAAGCACTGATCAATCTGTTTGATGCACTCTTTTCACAGTGAGATAAAATCCATTTGATTAAAACTTGCACATTTTGACTACCCAGCAAATAATTTTTGTGAACAATGACATCTAATTTATATAACCAATAAATGAATATATTTTAAAAACAAATTGGAATTTTAAATGTCATATAAATTGTAATAGAAAAGTAGTCAAAATATAATGGATTAAATTAGATACCAATACCTCAAAGAGTATATTTTTACTATAAGATATCCTATGTTAATATTCCTACTCCTACTTTTTTCCCTCTATAGAACTCCAAGATTTTCATTTCAGCTATCCAGGAAAAATATTTTGGAGCAATAGAGTGAAATCTATCATGTCAATAAACATGTAACTCACTGTCAGATATTATATTTTTATTCGGAAGATATATTTTCTACAAACATTGGAAAACTATTTCAAGAAGCAGGATATCTGAATAAAATTTTCAATATGAATGTCTTTTAATATATAAAATATGAAGCATTCTGATACATTCTTATGCAACACACTTTAGTGTATACTTCAGATAAGCCTACTATAAAATAAACAATGTTTTAAATTAGATAAATGAAAATGAGAAAGTTCTATTTTAATAACACATCCAATTCTGCCTCTACCAAAATTCGGACTTCTAACAAAACTAATGGGCTAAAATATTAGATTATCTATGTAATGCTATAAAAATCAAACTTTAAAATTAGCAAACCTATTTTTTCATTTAAATAATGTTTTAAAATCAAGCCCATCATCCTAATACATATTTAAGTGACCATGTATTGGTAAAACTGTTTATGTTGTAAAATCTACCTTTCAGAGAAATAAGTAAGAATTTGTAGCACTGTCAGCAGAGAAATATTATTTACACTGACATCTAGATAGAGGTTCAGAATTTAGTGGTTATGACATTTCTCTTGTTAACTAAGGTAGATATTTACTCAAAATATACAATCTTTCCTTCCTCAGTATAATCAGAAATGAGAGGTGTTCAGGGTAAGAGACATATATCTCAAACTCCCTGGATGATTCTGTTGCCTTTTATTTTCTAAATCATTTATCTCACAGACTGTAGCTATTTTTTCTTAGAGAATAATACTAAAATGTACTTTAAAATTAGCTTGACTGGGCTTCCCTGGTGGCGCAGTGGTTGAGAGTCCGCCTGCCGATGCAGAGGACACAGGTTTGTGCCCCAGGTCTGGGAAGATCCCACATGCCGTGGAGCGGCTGGGCCCGTGAGCCATGGCCGCTGAGCCTGCACGTCCAGAGCCTGTGCTCCGCAACAGGAGAGGCCACAAGAGTGAGAGGCCCGTGCGCAAAAAAAAATAAAAAATAAAATAAAATAAAATTAGCTTGACTAATTTATCTATTATTTTAGTCTGAAAGCTGAGAAACACAAGAAACTCAGAATACACACACACACAATTTACATTCAGTTGACCATAAATTTGGAAGGAAAATAGGTTAATAATCCACGATGGCAGAAAAGAACATAGTTCCCTAAAACTGGCCTTACAGCTGGTTTTGTGATATTAATAAAGTCTCATTAGGCAAATCTGATTTCAAGAGAGTCATTCATGTCTCCCATCAGCACTTCCTTTAACACAATCTGCAATAAAAATACATAGCAAGGTCTCAAACTATTGCAAGGTACAAAGCAAGAGTGGCTCTTTTTAATCTTAATTCCAAAGCAGGGGTCAGGAAACTTTTTTCTTCTGTAAGAGGCCAGAAAGTATGTTAACCTTTAAGAGGCATGTGATTTCTTGTTGCAACTGTTCAGTTCTGCCCTTGCAGCATGAAAACAGCAATGGATGATATATAAGTAAATGATGTGGCTGTGTTCAAATAAAACTTTGTTTATGGACGATGAAGTATGAATTCCATATAGTTTTCAAAAGTCATGAAGTATTATTCTTCTTTTGATTTTTTTCAACCACTTAAAATGTGAAAGTGGGACTTCCCTGGTGGTGCAGTGGTTAAGAATCCACTTGGCAATGCAATGAACACGGGTTCGATCCCTGGTCCAGGAAGATCCCACATGCTGCGGAGCAACTAAGCCCGTGCACCACAACTACTGAGCCTACGCTCTAGAGCCTGCGAGCCCCAACTACTGAGCCCACGCGCCCTAGAGCCCGTGTGCCGCAACTACTGGGCCTGCATTCTGCAACTACTGAAGCCTGCAAGCCTAGAGCCTGTGCTCTGCAATAACAGGAGCCAACCGCAATGAGAAGCCCGCGCACTGCAACTTAGAGTAGCCCCTGCTCACCGCAACTAGAGAAAGCCTGCTCGCAGCAATGAAGAACCAATGTGGCCAAAAATAAATAAATAAATAAAATGTGAAATTCATCTTAGTATGCTGGCTGTACAAAAGCAGGCTATACAGTCTGGATTTGGACAGGCCACAGTTAGCCAAGCCTAACTTAAAGCAATGAGGTCATTAGAAGGGTTTTGTTTCAAAGATATTTCCTGGAGAGCAGCTTGCTATACCAAAGTAAGAGGAAATAGAAACAACAGAAAATATCAACAATGTTAATATTAATTAGAATATTAGGCACTATCAATAAACTTAACAGAAAAATTGTAAAGTAAACTGAAAGGCAGATTATCCATCCATAAAAAAAATGCAGATAAGACAGGAGACAGGAGTTTTGGAAAAACTCAAATATTCCAGAGAGATTTAGTTTTTAATGGAATTACAACTATAAGTAAATAAATTCATGTTGGAAGCATGCTTCAATTAATTATACTTATTTAAACATAAACTTAAATGTTTAAAACTATTATAGACTGACAACAATTTTAAAGCTTCAAAATACCTAGTTTGACAATGTAGAGAAGTATTCATCGTCAGTGTTGATAAGAATATAAATTGATGCGATTGGGGGGACGATCTGGAGATATCCATCAAAATTTAAAACATTCTGAACCTTACATAAATTTTCAGTAATTAACGTACAATCACACAAGTGTGTGTAAATTTATGTAGAAGAATATTCACTGGAGGACTGTACTGTTGTTTATAATGCAAAAAAATGCAATCAAACTAAACCTCCATCAACAGAGAAACAGTTAAATAAATTATGGTACATCCATATAATGACATACTATGTAGTCACTCAAAGGACTAAAGCAAATCTATACATACTAACAGGAAAAGATAGTTACAATGTATTAAGTGAAAGCAAAACCAAGCTGCCAGATAGTGTATACTATATAATTTCCCTGAGGAATGGTTGGAGGAAAGGAGAAATAGAGGACTTACCTTTTTACTTCAAATTAATCTATACTGTTTTCTTTATTTTTATAAAACTACATATTACTGTTACAGTTTTTTTTAAAGAGAATGATCACTTAAATAGGAAAGTTGTAGCAATAATGCCAACAAAAGCATCATCTAAACAGAAAACAATCGTGTTAAAAGAAACTAAAAACTCCCTTAACCATAGAAGCATTGATCTACATAACAGGTAAGAATCCTAATGTTTAGTCCCAAGTGAGGGAGACTGATTAAGGAAATCTATAATTACAAGCTAGCATAGTAAATGCTGTAACAGAAGTGAGCACTGGGTACTGGAGAAACCCAGAGAAGGCGAACCTTAATCACTCTGTGTGGTTAAAAACGCACTGGGTTTTAAAGGATAAACAGAAAAGAGCCAGCAGATTCGGCGTATGCATGTGGGGGCACTAGGTTTCTGGTGAAGAGCCCTGGGCATTAAGAAGCACATGTAGTTATGCCAGAAATATTCCCTTTTAAAAACTACTACAGTATCACTGAATGACAGACTTTTCACATTATATTGCATGATGTTCATTCAAATATTTATTAAACATCTAACTGGCAGCTGCTGTGGTAGGCCTAGGTATTCACTGATGAGACAGACAGTTATCAATATTTGATTGCAAACTGTGATAAAAGAAATGAAGGAAATAAGAGAGATGACTGAAAATAACAAGGAAAGCATTTATAGACTGTTGAAGGAAGGCATCTGTGAGATAGTAATATCAATACTGAAACTGAGACCTAAGGATAAAAAAGCACCAACTGGACTTCCCTGGTGGTGCAGCGGTCAAGAATCCACCTGCCAATGCAGGGGATACGGGTTCAAGCCCTGGTCTGGGAAGATCCCACATGCCACGGAGCAACTAAGCCCACGCACCACAACTACTGAGCCTGTGCTCTAGAGCCTGCAAGCCACAACTACTGAGCCCAAACACCACAACTACTGAAGCTCATGTGCCTAGAGCCCATGCTCTGCAACAAGAGAAGCCACCACAATGAGAAGCCCATGCTCCGCAACAAAAAGTAGCCCCCGCTCATCACAACTGGAGAAAGACCACGTGCAACAATGAAGACCCAACGCAGCCACAAATAAATACATAAATTAATTTTTTTTAAAAAAAGCACCAGCCAAAGGAGGGGTGGCGGTCACATGCTGGGAAGCAGTGTTAGCTGGGACTAGCAGTCAAAGCTCCTGAACTAGAAAAGAACCTATTCTGTTTGAGGAACTGAAGTACAGCTGGTGTAGCTGAAGCCTAATAGGTAAGGCAAAAAAAAGAGGACAGGAAGGTTAAGGAGAGATAATCCAGGGCCTTGTAGATCACAGGGTGAAGTCTGGATTTATTTGAAATATGACGGACAGTGGCTGAAGGTTGTCTTTAAGCAGACAAATGCCATATTTGTTTTTTATTTTTTCTCTTGTTTTAAAAGATGATTCTGCTGTTTGGAGACTAGAATTGACAGGGAACAGGTAAAAGAACTGCAGTAGTCCAGTCAGGAAACGTTGGCTTGCATAAGGGTGGTAGCAGGAGACAGTGAGAAAAATGGACAGTTTTCAGATATATTTTTTGAGGTAGAAACAATGGAACCTGATAGAAAGGAGAACTGGGGAAAAGAAGAACTGTAAAGAATCAAAGATCACAGGATGTACTGAGTAAGTAAATAACAACTCTAACCATCATAACTAACAGTTTTATATCAGATGGTATTCTAGCAAAGGCATTTAATTAGAATGCTCTAAATCTTCAAATATTGTTCACCTCAATATTCTGCTAAACACAGGAGTAAGATTATTCAAATTTTAAAACAATGAGATATTTAGTGAACACAAGGAATCTTCACACAGTAATACATGAATCTATAAGTAAAATTTTCCAGGAAATAATTCAGAAAACATTCAACACATACTTATTGAGTGCCTACTATACACTAGTCACTGTATTAAATGTTGGCAAAGAATTCGATGCAGTCTTTTCAAAATGTAAATCACCCAGTGTTTGTATATTCCAGCATCATTATTTTTAAGAATCACTTTAAGACTTCTAGTTAAACATCATAGTTTTTAACTTGTATGTTATGCAAATTCAATAAAACAAATAACTAGCTTGGTTACTTTTCAAAGAAAATTATTTCATACATACCTTTTGAAGTTTGTTTCAAAGATTCAGAAAATTTCACCAAAGACTGCTGTTGAACAGCCTTCCCACATAATGGGTTGACAGTTTTATTTTTCTGCAAACCCTGTGTGATTTTGGTACTAGAGATACTTCCTGTTATACAATTGTTATTAAACTGAGAAAGAATTTGAGAATTTTTTATCTTTGTAAACATGTACTTAGAAAATCTCACTGCTCTGTTAAGGTCACTCTGAGCTTCATCTGTTACGGTGCTATGAGATAGATGTGGAGGACTCAATTTCTTATTAGCAGCAATTTCTGTACTCATATGATCTGAACTCACATTCAAACTTGAACTTCCTGTAAGAACCGATTTGGAACTATTCACTTGTTTTGGAACATCAGTGTTATTCCAAGAGACATGCAGATTATTGATCTGACAATTTGAGTTCTTAGAATATATAGTCAGATTTGTCGTGGCACCTAAAAACCCTGGAGAATTTCCACAAATTTCCCTTTTCTCCATCTTCATTGATTTATTTATTTGTAAGCTATCTGTCAATGAAGATGTTTGCACTGAAATGCTGTTCTGATTCAAATGCTTTGATTGCACCAATTGACTTCCTTGTTTAGGTGTGGTAAACACATTTTTGGCTCCGTGTTTAGAACTATTATTGATCCCAAGTACACTTTCTGATGTCTTGCTGTCCACTCTAATGTCTTGTTCCTGAGTTAGTCTTTCAATATCATCACATGCTTGGTATAATAAATCATCATCTACATCATCTGCTTCCCAAGTATTCTCTAAGTGATGACAGGCTTTAACAATTTCATTGGTAAATGATGTATCATTCCAATCATCAAAGAAAGAACGAAGCTTTGATGAATTAGTCTGATTTGGGTTACAAACACTGGTTTTATTGCCCAAAGTTGCAGAGCCTAAAGGCTTGACATTAGTAGGTGCCTTCAAAGACTGATTAAAAATGGACTTATTTTTTTGTTCATTAGAACATCCTGGGTTCAAAGTAGACTTTTTTTCAGAAGCATTTACATTAGAAGTAAATTTAATATGAGTATCTTCATTTACTTTTGCCAGATTAGATGCAACTGCACAGTCTTGAATTTTGTCTTGAACAACAATTGTATTAAAAGATTTCTCCAATTTCATTTTATTTCCAGTGGATGATAATTTATTTGGTTTATCATTCGGCTTTGGTGAAAATCTGTATTTTGCAGCAGCTGTTAATTCACTGTTCCATGTCTTTGAAGGAAGATCTTGTAAAATTTTTGAATCTCTTAACCTGGTATCTAGACTTGTGTTCATTCCTGACTTACTTTTACCATTTTTACTGTTAAAGGTACAAATTTCCTTTGGATCAGTAATCTGGGCTGTTTCAGGGGCAGGGAGAAGTTCAGACATTTCAATATTTTGCATAACAAAAGGTTCATTACTTAGTAAGTTTTCCCAATCATCCTCAAAATCACTGGTAGTAAATGTATCACTGTGCTTATTAAAAGCTCCTGGTTCCTTAGTACAGGAAGTCACATATGATTTTGTCATTCCAGGATTATCTACTTGATGAGAAAGTGATCCTTGGGTTTTATTTGGTAGTTTTTCAGTGATCAGAGTTTCATTAGTAAAGATGTTCTCCTCTTTCAAAGCGTTTTTCTTTCCAAAGGTAGTACTACTGGTGTTCAAGAAAGCATCTGACAGATCTTGGCTTAACTGTCCACTACATTTCTGAGTAGAACCATCAAAAATGGCGATAAAGGCTGCTTCAGCATTTTGGTCAAATGGCTTCTGACTGCTAATTTGATCATTTACCACAAATATCCTGTTTTCTTTCACTGGCTTCTTTATCATAGCATTATCTATTTCAGGAACTATATCATGTAGTAACTGCATCTGTACATTATCTCTGTAATTATTTAAAGTCTCTGCTTCAGAAATCATCTGGATAAGATCATGATTTCCCTTGTTTTGCTCTTGAATCACATCTAGCTCTTCCATATTTTTATCAAATTGCTTAGCCAATTTCATAAGCTCCTCCTCCTGATTTTGTGATTTTAACCTATTAAACAAATATTTTAAAAATTACAACTAAGTAAAGTTCTAAGAGTCATAATATTCAGTTGTTAGTTAACATATTTTAATGTTAAAATTCAAGTTTTAACACATACTGATATTATAATTATTTTAAGTAAAAATTTTACATGTCAAAATTAAGGAAAATAATTTATAACCATTTTGACATATTCACAAAACCAAAACAGAATATTAAAAATATTTACTTCACTGAATGTCAGAAAAACTGCGAAGTTTGAACTTACTTTGTGCAGCTGAGTTTTGCTCTTGATTTTCCTTTTGCTACACTAGGAGTGCAAGGAATAGCAGTTGCACCAATCCACACGCCCAGCATGGAGTCTGTTGTTGGTTTCTCATCCTTTGGCAGAAGGGGAAAAAAAAAGAGGTGTAAAAGTACCAAAACCAACCAAACAAAAATCCACTTTAATTATGCTGAATTATTTTCTTAAAGCAATAATTTCTGGTAAGGTGATAGCTACTAAACAAACTCCAAAACAATGAGAAGATGGAGGACAGCTGCAAGAAGTAATCTATTTATGTTTCTGGGAATGAAAACAGTCAGAATTGGGAATTCCTTATTTCCAAAAAAATTTTGTTTTTAAGAATTTAATTAATTAGGAAATGCATATTCAATAGTAAAAGCACATGTTTTTATCAAAAGAAAACTGAACAACTTATTTCAGTTGCCATAAGATATTCATAAAATAAACATTAGTATCAGAAATAAACCATGTAGCAGGAATCATTAGTATTATGAATAAAGAGAGATACATATGGAGTTTTTTCTGTATCACCTGATTCTCCAAATTTTCCCTATCCCCATTATAACGCTTATCTAAAGTTGGGACAATCCACATTGACCTTAATTGACAACACTTAGGTAGAATTAATACAACTTAGAATTAAATCAGGACCAAGCTAGAGATAAGTGCAAGGTTAGAACTGATACTATGAATGAGGGATAAGAACAAAAAGTAAGTAGAGAAAGCAGGTAAAGAAGTTTAACTAGTATTAAGGCTAGAAAAAAGCCATTTTAGTCCTGGATCTTTCTGCTATACCCTTCAGTCACTTGATCATGCATAAAATTAGAGAATAAATCTGTGTATTAGTTACAAACCAAACCAATAAATTAAACAAGTTAATCACTTTCTACTCTATTTTTATAGTACTTAGAATGAGCATAAACAAGCAACTATCACACATATTAAAATAATCTTATCACTAGATTATAGATTACTTGAAGGCAAGGACTATTCCTGATAGTTCAGCATCTAGCAAAATGCTGAGCATAAAGATGTCAGTTCATGTTTATTCACTAGAAAGTTAGGTGAAAAGATACCTACAACTTGGTATTTCAAAATCCTCAATCAACAAGCAGTTTTCTTAGATGTCCAGTTGAACCTAGTAGATTTTAGCTTTGCAAAATGCCCAAGGAAAGCAATAATTTTGATTTTAGACGCAATACATATTTTCCCTTTTGTTTCAACAATCTTGAATTTAGGGAAAAATAACATTCTTAATGATTTAATTATGGATATTTTTTGGTCCATTTACTAAGTAATTTTAAATTCATTCCATTTTTAGAATATAAAAGTACGATAACTTTATACATCTAGTTATATATATACATGGGTCCTATGTATTTTTTATAGTTTTTTTTTATAGTATTTGTAAATGTTATATTTTTAAAATTTCCTCATCAATAATTACATAATTACAATCCAGGTGCTGTAAAAGGTATCTAAGCACATATCCTAGAGTATACTGTGCAGAGTTGTAAAAATGATGGAAAAATATACACCATCTTCAAAAAACAACATTGTACAAAAAGCATCCCTGAAGAAAGCAAAATGACTGACCAATTAAAAGTGCAAATTAAAAAAAATGTCATCTCTGGAACTATTAAGGTGACTTAAAATAATTATTTGAGGAGGATAACTCACCTAAAAATAAACAACATGAATATGTCATTCTGAGAAAATGACAAGTTCTTAAAAAGACCTTGGCATTACCAAAGATTTACGTGCTTTAAAAGTGCTCAGTTGAAAATGGTAATATTTAAACGCAACTAATTTCACTGTACTTTTTCTTATACACAAGTTACCACTTGCATACCGTTGCCATTTCTTTATGTGAGCTATTATTTCCAGCCCACTTAGGTAGAGTCCAATAATTTACTAGCTATCTTTTTATCACTATTGAGGCTGGCCAGCCCAAACACATTTTATTATGCTTCTTTCATGTGAAACCCACAATTAATGAAGATCTATTGTTAACTTATGAAGCAAGTAGTATATGGTATAAAGGCTATTTAACTAATGAACTGTATGTAAAATGCATTTCTATGACATACCAAACATGGAATGTAGAGCTAGCAGCAACAGAGTTGTTTTCACTGTGTTAGCTGTAATTCTGGATGGTTTATAGTTGCTAAGAAAAACTTTATTTCCTGTCTCCTCCACCTGGATGATGGTGATCCTTGCAACCACAGTTTGGGCCAGTGTCATCTATTGTTTATGGTCAACATATAGTCACTATCAAAGGGCATTTCAAGGAAAAATACTAAACTTCCTATGGAAAAGATACTAAGCAAAAATTGGGTGTTTTCTGGATTTAAATGTTGCTAAATAAGAAAAAGAGAAAGGAAAGAGGTCCAGAACAGAGGCTGACCTAAACTTATACTTCTCTTACACTCAAGCATTACAAGAGCTGAAATAAAGAAATTTTTAAATACAGTTCTGTTATAGCAAATAATTAACTATCATAATTAACTTTAACCTAGCATTTGTAGTGCTCTGTAGTTTACATAAATTTTTATCCAATTCAGTCATCATAATAATCCAAGAAAGAGAGCAATACAAGTAATAATTCTATTTTAATGGCTGAATGAACTAAAGTTCTGAGAGTTTAAGGGACTTGCTTAGGGTCATCCAGCATAGGAGGCAGACTGAGAACTAACTCCAAATCCAATGTTTTTTCCATTTTTATGTTTCTTGATGATATTATAAGCCAACAAGTATTAAGAAAAGCAGTTTCAATGAGGAAAAGGTGTGCTATAGACAGGAAAAAGAATATCCATCACCAAAAACTTAGAAGTTTAAACCTTTATTGTCTGATTCTACTCTTTTAGTAACTTGAAAAATGATACCATATATTGTTAAATAACATTAAAAACAAAATAAACACAAAGCTCTAGTTAAAAATCATCATTCTAAAAAAGTATATACATATGCTTAGGAAAATATATATTACCAATTTTAAATTATGGTCCTTTTTTCAAAACATGCATTTCAGTGGTAGAAAAGGTAAAAATAATCTTTGCTGCTTTGTTTTTAAAAAAGAGGATTGAATAAGACAAAATATTTTTCACATAAATGAACTATAAAAAAACTTAGTGGCATATTTTCACTGTTTTAAAATAAACTATATAATACTGATATTTACCTGAGGAGCAATGCGATTAACAATATGTGAGATTTCATCACTATCTGTGGTGTAAATCTGCTTTTTTCTTCCTTTACCTAAAGAAACAAAGACATTTCTATAAATTAAAAACAAAAAACTAATTTTTTAAAAATAGTGGTTACGTCTTAGAACACAATTTTAATTAGCATGGCTTAGATCACTGCGCATTCTGACATTACACGCGTATCACAGCAACATGATCACTTAATATTCTCGAAAAACATTTGGTGTATAAAAGTTCCTGATGTGGATATCTGACTGAAATTCTACAGTTAAATCCTAATCATTAATCAAATATTCACCCAGATAAAAATGTTTTAACAAATTACCTAACTGTTTCGTCATTGGAGAATTCTGATCCCAAAAGATATCATTCTGTCCATCTGGATCATTAGGAGAACTGAAGGCAGATGACAATAAATCCATTTGCAGCATTCTCTTTGGTGTTTCATACATTTCTACATAAAATAAGATTAAAATAACAATTGTTGCATTTTAAAGCATTACTTTACTTCATAATACCCCAATGTTAAATACCAGCTTAGACTAAATTTTTTTATAGTCCAATTATAAATTTCTTTCCCAGAGATGCTTATATTACTTTAGCCACAACTGAAATGTTTCACATAAAATCCCTGTAGTACTTCGTTAAGTTTGACATTGTAAATAGCAAGTATTTTAAGACAATCTAATAGCTCTATAGATGTACAATACTGTATAACCTAGTCATTCCATTCATTACCCCTGGAACTAGGAGGTTTGGGGAAGCACCTGTAATCTACAGACACATTTCAAAAATCAAAAGCATTTCAACAGAAACTTCAGAAAAAGTCTATGTTTAGCTTCCTTTTGCCAACTCTATCCAACTTACACTAATTACTTCAAAAAGCTTTAGTGAGCCATTTCTTGGTTTTGTCTAGTATCACTTTTTGTTTTTGTTTATTCTGCAATTGCTTTGTCAAACTAAAAACAAGTAAGGTAATAAAAGCTGTATTTTAAGAATACTCTAGGAAAGAGCTCTTATATGAGTTTCAATTCCTACCAGGATTTATTAGAAAAAATTGAACACCAAAAAGTGATCAGAATGAAATACTCAGGGGCCCTTGGTTTCCTACTATGAGGGACATTATACAAAGGAACTTCCGGTTTATTCATAACGAGTTGAGACATCACCAAGGCTTTGAGGATGGAGATAGCTATATATTCCAGACGGCCCCTTCTCTAAGTCAGATCAGGGCAAAAAGTTTAAGGGGAAATAATTCCCGTGGTAATAAGCAGAAGGCACAAGATATTATTTCTCCTCGCTCTGCCACTATTGATACCTGGAGGAGCAGCCTACAAATTAGCCTTCCTCCCTCCAACAGGTAAACCCCACAATCTATTCCTGTGGCAGGGGCGACAAATGGGTTGTCACGCCTAACAGGGCAGTGCTCACACTCGGGGATGAAAGCCCTGGG